GGCCCTTAATGGAAATTCTGCTTTGGTACATACAGCCCTGTTCCCTTTATCCCGCCGGCCCTGGCCTGGAAGAACAGGCGGTGCTTTCCACTCAAGGGCTATTGATTTCTCAGTGCTCCTCGGCTGCTCGCTCTCCGGCTGCATCCGGCAGAATCTCGTCCAGCCCCAAACAGCCAAGGAGACAGAATTAGCAGAGCAGACTGTCCACTCAGGATGTCACTGTTTGCATCCCGGTCTGCCCTGACCTGCTCTGGCCTCAGAGACCACCAGCCAGAGTACCCCAGCAAGCTTGCAGAGGATGCCTGCTTCCCACCTCCCCCACCCCCTCTGCCCCAGCAGTTGAGGGTAGCCCTGACCTCTTCCCTGAGAATTTGAAAAGCTGGCCCTTTGGGAGGGAGTCTGAGGAACAGGCCAGGCAGTCACCTTGTCACCTCAGCCTGTGAGTCAGAGGGAGAGGGTGCGGGCATCGCAGGGGAAGAAGAGGGACTTTTGTTCCCTCCACCCCAGGACCATTCCCAGCATTTGGACCAAGCCCTCCCAGCACCGGCCAGCCCTGAAACCACAGAGACTGAGCTGGAGTGAGAATAGTGTGAAAGACAGCAGATGCAGGGTGGCAGGCACGACCACACCTAACCCACTCACTGGCTTTTGACGGCATTTATTTTGTGAAGCCCCCAGTGACAGCTGGAGACTGTGCGAACCCAAGAGCCGCAAGAGTCCTGGGGGGTGGATCCCCAGCCCTTGCACCAAGGGTCCAGAGGAGCGAAGAAAGACCCCAGCCGGCCAACGCAGGCCCAGGTTTGCCTAACACAGAGAATGGCTTGGGGATTCCAGTTGGCCCTCAGGGTCCATCCTGACCTGGGGGTTCTGCTAGTGCCTGCCTGCTCGCCATCCGTTCCCCTTGCCATGTTGTCTTAGACCGTGATCTCCTTGGCCTTGTCTTCCTGTCTAGTGAAGGGTCTTAAGAGTACAGGCACACACTGGCAGCCCAGCGCCAGGGTCAGAGCCTGGCCCACAGTAGACTCCCACAGTGTTTGTCAAATGACTAATAGAAGGACTGGCTGGGCTGTTCTGTAAGCCCCATCTTCCCTTTGTGTCCTTGGACAGGCAGGTGCAGGGGCTTCAGAGTCACTGAGGCCTGTGGCTCTTTGGTTGCCCTTTGGGTAAGGGAAGGCATTGAGCCAAGGCCAGGCACGAAGTTGTGGCCCCAGCAATCTATAGGGAGGAGAATCGCCCTCCAGCCTCCCCCACAGGCATTTTGGAGAAACGGAGTTCTGGGCTCTGAAAGTCAGAAGGAACCTAGGAAACAACTGAAACTTGCCCACCATTCACTGTCAGAAGAAGTCCCTGCCAGCTTCTGAAGAGCCCATCTAACTGGCCTTCTGGTGGTGGTAGTGGTGTCTGAATTGCATCCCTGGCTGGCCAGATCCTGTGGGTATCAGGGTTCTCCAGCCACATGGGTATGGGAGCCCCCAGAATTCAGATCTCGATGACATGGTTGTCCCCACACAGTATGGCATGTTCCCATCATTTCAAAGGAAGTCAGAAGGGTGAGTGAGTTGTTCCCAATTCTGGCCTTCAAAAATTCACCAAAGAACGTGCTTTTCCCTGTGGAGTAATAAGCAACCCACACCAGTACTCATTAGCCTTTGGGACAGAGAGCTGAGGGCCTGCTGCTGTGTGGCAGGCTGGTTCTGGGTGGGGACACTCAAAGGGCTGGTCTGCTGGCAGAGTGGGTGGGAGCTCCCTAGTAGGGGAGAATTCGTCTGCCTCCTCCATGCTCCCCTTCCTCCTCTCTCCTCCAGCTCCTCTCTCTCCCCTTCTCCCTCCATCCCTCAACATGCAGAGCCAGAATGCCCTTCTCTAGGGTACCATGGAGTAACTTCAGTCTGAACTGGGCTGAAACCCAGGAAGGTTCTGTGGGCATGTGTCCAATTCCCTCTGATCACCTGCCTTCTGGCTTCGCCCAGCTGGAGAGTCCCTTTGTCTGATTAAGTAGTTGAATTGGTAATGAGATTATTTTCTCTCTGCACCAGAGAGAGAAGCCTCTAGGTAACTGCACTGGGAAGGGGGACAGGAGCATGACCATGTGGTGGCTAATGGGGAGGCTGATGCAGCACCCTGCCTGGCCTCAGCCCAGCCAGCAGGCGGCAGCAGGGTTTGGGCCAGGCCTTTTTCCCCTCTCCTATTTGGCACACAAAGCGAGAGTGCTTCCGTGAGCCATCATGAACAGCAGCCCAGGACCTGTCTATGACTTGGGCCCCTCCACCCCTGGAGCTGGGAAAAGGTGGGACAGAGGAGGAGCCAGGCCTTAGTTCTCAGAGACTTCAGGGTCTCCCCAACCCTAGGCTCACCAGGGTGGCCACCATGGGAGAAGTGCCGTTGGGCTCACTCAGGACCCTCAGGACAATGCTGCCTGTCGGTGCCACTGGCACCATGGGACCAGGCACTATGATGACCTCCTCTAGTATGTATAAAAAGCCACATGACCTGGAACATCCTTCACAAAAGGCAGAAACTGAGTGTCCTGACACTAAGCAGCAATTTTCAGCCACTGTTTCCTCCTGGTCACTGGAATCATTTGTCATTTCCTGTTTTCTCCATTTTCCAACGATTCTAATTGTCAGTGTCAAAAGGCAACAACTGTTTTCTTGGGGCTTATCTTTGGAGCACATTGATTCAGAACAAAGGATGGGCGCTCCGTCTGCAAAACAAAGGAAGTGGCCTCCAAGGGAGGCCTGGAGAGAATGCCCAGGTCCCTTCTGCCAGGGACAACAGGACCAGAGTGGAAGCAGAGGGCTGGCCAGGCCCTGGGCACCCCAGTGGGGAGAAGGGCCTGTGGAGGAACCCCTTGCTAGGCACAGGCAGGCACAAGGGTCTGCAGAGCTGGTCACCAGCACTGTGGGCTGGGCAGGGACACTGTTTGGCCTTGGCAGTCTCTGTATTGATGTCGCAGCTGGCCAGATTTCCTACAGCTCTGGACACTGTGGAATTTGTGCCTCTGTGGGTGAAGACTCTGCAACCTCCCATTTGTCCCATAGCCCCAGACTGGGAGCAAGCTCTCTTTCATCTGGCAGTCAGTACCCGGGCTCTACCCTCTGACTCCTGCCCCAGCCAGCTTTTCCTTTTGTTTTCCACTGGCCCTGGACAGGCTTTCTCTGTACATCCTTCCCTTTGCACTTTTCTGCCCTCCCTGCGTTTTCTTTGGTCACACCCTCTGGCCTCCACCTCCCCACCTCTCGGCCCCGCCCCTCCTCAGCTGCAGTGCTTGCCCCTATGGGGCTAGGCAGTGTGCACACTGAGATGGCCACGCTGGAGCCAGCTGTAGAGGTGGTAGGCTGGGGAGGCCGAAGCACTGGGTGTGCTGCTAGTGGCACTCCACTGCCTAGTGGAGTCGCTTTGGGAATGTCATTTAACCTCTGCGCTCAGATGCCACACACCTGTAAGCTGGGAACTGTGAATCCATGCCAATTTCCGCAGGCTGGCAGAAGGAGCAAGGGCAGGAACAGAAGTGAAGTGGTCACACACAGCCCCAGACCTCCGGCCGATCTGGATGGTGTGGCCTGGAGTGGTCATTCAGCCACCATGCTCCTCCCTGTCCCCATGGGGCATTTCCAAATGACAGGAAATAATGGGTATGAAGCGCTCAGGACAGTGAGCCTCTGGGCGCTCCTTCTGGAAGAGAGGAGCCCCAGGGGTTCAGCTGAGAAGCAGCCCCTACACTCACACCCTGGCAGCAGCCCCGAGAGTTGGAGGGCAGCAGCAAGAGCTGGGACAGGAAGCAGCCCAAGGGCGGGATGCAGAAGCAGAGCCCAGTCTGGTGTAGTCTTCCCAGTTCCACGTATTTGTCCTCTCTGCCTTGGCAGGAACAAAGCCAGGAACGGCTGCCAGGCCTGAGGGCCAGGCACACTCCCAAGCGCCGGCCCTCCACCCCGCCCACCCCACGCCGCACCACGGGCAGTCCCTATTGCAGGGTCAGGTCGTCTGGCCTGGGGGCAGAAAGAGGGCTGGGGGCGTGTGCTCTCTGACAGCTGCCTTGGCAGTTGGCACACTGGCAGGCAGGCTTCTCCAGAAGGGCAGAGATGGCAGCAGGTGAACGGGGAGAGTGAGCCCCAGGCTGCCAGTCAGAGCTGGGTCCCAGTCACAACCAGTGGTAGGCCTGGGAGGAAGTTCTGTCTCCTCTCGCCTGGGAGTCTCCCGATTCTCTCCTGGTTTCGCTGTCCCCTGCTGGCCCATGGGCTGGTCCCTGCCCACCCAGCCAGCTTCCAGCTGAGGACAGGAAGCCTCTCCCACCTTCTGTCCACCACAGCCAGTCAGGAGAAGGAAGGGAAGTTGGCAGTGATGTGTGGCTCCTCTGGGTGTCGGGCAGTATCTCCATCTGACCGTGTGATCACGCAGCCGTCCATGCCAGGACCACCCGGAACAAGCCTTGGTCACTTTCCCATGACAGCCTCGCCAAGAAGCCTGTAATCTTTGCCCCAGCTCGACTCACCTAGCTGTTTTATTACCATCCTCTGAACAGAGCCAGTTTGTCTGGGTCTCCCTGAGACTGGCATGGCCAGATTCCTGTTGGCACTGTGCGCCCAGTCTGGTCAAGGCAGAGTAGCATAGGACTGTCACCTCCCTCCTACACACTCTGCTTCTATTAATGCAGCCTAATGTTACATTTGCTCTTTTGATGGCCACATCTCACTGCTGACTCATCTTGAACCGACGGACATCCAAAACGCCTCAGCCTTTCTCTGTGTGCTCTTGCTAGTAAGCTCTGTCCCATCCTGCTGCAGCAGTTGGTTTTTTTTAACCCAGGTGCAGAGCCCTACTTTTCTTTCTCCCTGTGGAATTTTGCTTGGGAGGGCGGAGCATGCATGCGAGTGTGTATTGGTGTGTTCACTCATGCTTTTGCTACACTAAAGCCGAGTCCCAGGTCCCCGCACAGTGATCCCAAGGCTAATATTTCTTGGTAGCTGCCATCTAATGTGTGTTTTTCACCTTCTGTTTAGCAAGAGAAACAGAAATCAGGTCTTATGGCAATGACCCCTAAGCAGCGAAGTGCGTATGTGGCCCAGCAGATGAGCCCATTTCAAGGTAAGCAGTTAAGACCAATATTCCATCCCACAGGGTCGAGTGGGGGCCACATACAGGGCTCGGGGAAGAATTCCTTTCCAAATAAGCGGTTACTGGCTGTGTTTCTGCAAGTACTAAGCAGAGGTGAGGTCTGAAAGAAAGGTTGGGTCTCTCCCATTAAACCGAGTTCACCTACCCACCTCTAAGAGCAGGATCCCAATTGTAGGCCCGGACGTAATGCTTCCTAAATCCTCTAATTCAAGAGACTGATTAAGCTGAGCCAGGCCCCTTCAAGCCATTAGCATCAGTGGGTGAGGGACAGGGACCTGGGGTGTATATCACAATGTCCTGGGGCTGCCATAACCCAGAGTTCTGACCCTGACCTTCCTCTTACACGGATGGAGTGACCCACTTCTAGAGGGTGCCAGGGCCATGTGGTGAGAGGGCCAGGGATGCTTCACCTCAGAGCATCCCGGGGACCCCACCCTACCAGGCAGTTATGAATGGAGCATGCAGTTTTTGGCCAGGGATACAGCAGATGCCAAAGAACCAAACGTGGTTTCTGTTTCACGGAGCTTGCAGCCTACCAGGGAGGACTGAGTTAAGCACTCCTTACAAGCCACTGAGGTGACAGACACCACAGCAGACCAAGGATGCTCATGGCGCACTCCACACTTGTCCCCTTGCCCTCAGCCCAATGCCACCTGCATAACACTGGTCCTCCTTTCTGCCACAAACCCCCTTTCCTGTGGGCTCCAAACCAGCCGAGTTTCCATCTCACACATCCAGGCTGGAGTGGCGTGTCAGACAGGCTGGGGCTGCAGGTGCAGAGTAGCACGACACAACAAGCACAGGAGCCCCAAGTGCAGGCACAGGAGGAGAACAGAGGGGAGCAAACTGTCCCTGTTCCCTCTTACCACACTTGCTAGGGAAGCCAAGTCCAGCTGGGCATCTCTAGTCTGTGCTGCTCCGCCATCTTCCCTGGCCCAATCCCCTCCCCTCTCCCTTCTCTTCTTTCCTTCCTTCCTTTCTTCCAGAAACTATTCAGTGCGGGCCCCATGTAGAGTCACTGAGTATAAGCGGGGGCACATCCCAGCCTTGACAGACCCCCAGCCTCTGGGCCAGCATGGCCCACTTTGGGAAGGGGCTGAACACAGATCTGGGAGGTCAGGGAACTGCAGTGCAGGCTAAGGGCAGAGAAAGGAGGTGAGTTGAAGAGAGTTTGGAGGGCATGGGTGCTCAATAGGGAGCCAAGGGACAGAGGTCAGTGTGTGACCCACAAGTCCTGTCCAGTGACCAAAGCCCAAGTGAAGAATTCATTTGAAACTCATCCCCCCATCTCTCCTCCTGTAGCCGTCCAAGAACAAGTCACCCCCAAGTGTATCCAGACCAAGACAAGCCCTTCATCCAGCCAGCACATGATGCCACCCAGACCCAGGCTCCTTCCACACAATATGAACCCAGGAGCAATCCCACCCACCAGGCACCAGAGCTGCGAGGGCATGGGCATGAGCTCACCAACGCCACGAAAGCAACAAGGAACATTCAGCACCGGCTCCCACTTCCCGGTGTCCTCTCATCCCAGCCAGAAAGCCCTGGGCGGTCTTGACTGCCAGCATCCGCAGAGTGCCAAGGCCGCCTTCCCAGGAGTGCTCCCGCCCAGGTTCTGTCCCAGCCCACTGGGCAGCCAACCCCTGAGTCCCCACCGGCTCAGACAGCCCAGTGTGCCAAAAATGCCCACTCTGTTGAACAGTGCCACATGGGTGGTATTGTCGGCGGCAGCTGTGACCACAGCAGTTTCAAGGGAACCATCCCCAACCCAAGCAGATAACAGGAACTCAGTCTTTGCCAAGACACCCATGAAAGTGCCCCCCATAGCCCAGGCATTTCCATCTCAGCAGGCAGTGGCACCTCCTGGGCACGTGACCCCAGGAAGCGGGTCTGACCAGAAAAGGAACAGCCCTACCCTAGTCAACTCCAGCTTTGGCCTGCTGGGCAGCCAGAGCCTCCGGCAGAGTCCGGTGCAGGGCCCTGTGCCTGTGTTGAGCACCAAGGCCCTGCAGCAGGGTGCCGCCAGCTTCGCACCCATGAGTCCCATCCATGGCATTGAACCACCAAGCTATGTGGCTGCTGTCGCTGCCACCTCGGCCACAGCTGCCAGCCAGTCCCTTGGACCCTTCAACAGAACAGGGACCCTCCCTCAGCTGCCACCCATCAACGTCTTGCCCCAGCAGCTACTAAATGGTCTGATTTCACCACCTGACTACAGTGAGGTGGATTTCATTGAAGCTCTCTTGAAAGGTTCTGGTGAGGGCCCAGATGAAGACTGGCTGTCTAACCTGAGGTTGATCGATGACATTCTGGAACAGCACGCTGCTGCCCAGAATGCTGGCCAACTCCCCCAGGGTGCCAGAGGGCTTTAAATCAGAGCTGGGCATCCTAGGAAGCCACTCGCTGATGGCATTCTAAGGGGGCCCCAAAGCCGCAGCAAATTCCCACGCAGCCCCAGACAGCCACACTTGGTCCTCATTACCGAGTGGCATCACCCTTCCCATCCCCCTCTGGACCCGAGACAAAATGGATGGAAAGCTGGTGATTTTTCAAGCTACTTGTACATATTTGAAAATTTTGTAAATGGTTTTCCTAAACATGAATGACAGAAGTATTTATACTTGGTTTTGTGACTTTGTAAATAAAGTGACGGCTTTTGTTTCAGTAGAGTTGTGTTTATTCTGCTTTGTTTTGTGTTTATTCTACATTGTTACAAACGTGCAGGTTGTGCTGTCCACCCCAGTGATACCTTGTGAAGCCAGGTGGCTGAGCCTCGCTGTGGTTTTGATGCTATCTATGGTTTTGATGCCCTGAGAGATGTGGCTTGTGACCAAGGGGTGTTTGCAAACTGACACATGCCAAATAGAAAACCGCTTGGTCACCGATTTCCATTCGCACTCCAAGTCCTATCGCCTGGTGTGACGCTTAAGCTCTTTTGCAAACCTTTGCCATCTCCAAAAGCAAGCTCTTTCCTAATGAGCATTCACAGCGCTAGTGACTTATTGTAGTGCCTCCCCGAGACACTGCCACAAGGCTGAGGATGTCTGTGAGATGTGGGAGAGACACAGAGCAAGTGGGGAGCTGAGCAGAGTACGAGCTCTCCCCTTGCTCTCTCCCTCAGACAGAAGAGAGCCAGCCCAAGGCAGGGGAAGGTGAGCTGGCCCCGCTTTCAAGTCTCTCTGCTGGTCCTGACGTAAGGCTCTGTGGTTGTGGGGGGAGTCTGTAAACATTAACAGTTGATTTGGAGTTTGTCTTTGATGGTTTCTATCTGCAATTACTGTCATGTATATTTAAGTGTCTGTTGTAGAAAACGCACACCCACTGTCCTGTAAACTTTTCTCAGTGTCCAGACTTTGTGTAATCACATTTTAATTGCCACCTCGTATTTTGCCTCGACATTTGAGATCTGGCGTCTGTTTCGAGCCAGTGCGTTTTGTTTTTCTTTGTTCTGTTAATAAACAGCCAGGAAAAAAGTGCCTCTATGTTTTCATTTGTCCAGGGAGCGTTCAGCCCCTATAAAGCCATACCAGCTAAGCGTGCTAGTGTCTCTGCTTCCTCCCAAGTCTTCGTAAGGTCTTGGGCAACAAAACACTGTAGCCACCAGGCAGAGGGACAACAGCCTGGCTGGCACATGCTGCAGTCACTGACTACCAGAGCACAGGGCATTTTGACCCCGCCCTCAGTTTACAGAGGGAATGGGCAGCTGGAAGGTAATTCCACACTGGGTCAGAGGCAGGGACTCTGACTCAGCACCACCGTCGTCTTGCCCATCTCTGGCCAGACCCTGCCACCCTTGAACAGAGACAGAATTGAGTTTGTTACTCTGTCAACTTGCTCTCTGGATGGGGCCCCCAGCAATAGGGAGACAGCATGCACACAAGGGACCTTGAAGAGTGGTGAAAGCCTTCAGGCCTCCATAGCAAGATCCCTTTCTTCCGTGGAAGAGACACTCACAAAAGGGGCAAGGGGTGATCTGAGGCAGGTGACAGCTACCTGCTCTTCACAGAGACAGCCTCACAAGACCTTGGACAGGCACCAGGCAGCTGAGCACCCAGCACGGTATGGAAAGAAGGGTCTTCTCACCTTTCTTCACCCTGCCTCAGTCCAAAGCCTGGACAAAACTCACCCCTGCTCATTCTCAGTGGTGGAGCCAGGAGAACCCAGGGCATGGGGGCAAAGGGAAAAGGTCAAAGATGGCTTCCCCTCAGGTACAGGATGCCAGAGGAAGGAGAGGTGTTGCCTGGGTTTGCCCCATCCTCTCCTGAAGATCCCGCTCCCTGAAGACCCAGCCCCTTCAAACCCTGGCCTGCTGTTGCAGTCTAGGAAGTCTGTTCCTAGCAGTCTAGGAAGCCCACCCAGCCCCCTCTTGGCTCCTCTTCCATCCCCTCTGTGGACAGAGTGAGTGGCCTAGTTCTGATCTACACCGCCCATATGCCTTGGGCCCCCTCCTTCCGCAGAGCTTCATTGACTTAGGGGACCCTAGTAAGAAGTCTGACATGTGTGCATCTCCTATCAGGAGGCTAAGACATGGCCAACAGATAGCAGACATTCACAGATAGACCCATGTCCCCCCAAAGGGGGGGAGGAAGATATTTGGGACCCACACATACCCTTGCATTCATGGTGTGGCTGAAGCCACAGTCGAGACTAGATGTGATGAAAATGGGCCTGTCGTGACCAAGCAGAGCCTCAAATGTTCCCCAAAGAGGCCCATACTCAACTCTCTCAAAGGCTGGGACAAAGGATGGGAACAGCCATAACACCTCTCACAGGCCCCTCCCACTTCCTCCTAAGCATTGGGCAATGGACCATCCCACAGGTGTCCCTCAGCCAGCTGCCACTCCCTATCAGTACTGACCCTCTGCCCCAAGTGCCCATCCATGCCAGGCCCCAGGGCCTGCCTGGAACTCTGGGACTCAGGAAGTGCCCCACTGGCCCTCCCCCTATCACGCTTGGTGACCTCCTCAGTGCCTGATGCTCGGGACCTGCCAGGCAAAGAGCTGGGTCCCATGTCGTATCATGGGCCTTCCTCAGCCTACCCAAAAGCTTCGTGGCTTACAACCCTGCCATCTTCAGAGACTGAGAAGAAAGGCTGAGCAGAGCCTGCTGAGTTGTTCTCCCTTCCATCCCTAGAAGGTCTAATCTTCAGGCTGAGCCAGTGGGCACCACAACACAGACAGCGTCCCTAGACACTGCCTGCCACCTGGCCCCAGACTGGCCCCACTGCTTCCCCAACACTGCTTGCCCTCCCACCAGGTCATAGACGTCCCAGGTGTCCAGGCTGTCCCAGCTGTCCCTTCCTGAAGATGCACACTCCCCACATTCTGCCCTCACTGCTCCCCTCTCTCCTGCACTCTCCACTTATCCTGTGCTGGATTCCTCCCAGGGGCACTCATCCACTGTCAACTCCAGCTCTCCGCTGCCCTTTTTAAGGAGTGGCCATGCCCTGCCTCTTCTTTCCCATCACTCCAAACCTGCTTCAGTCTCAGATCTTCCCTCCCAAGTGCTCTGGCAAAAATGCCAATTTCCTCCTGGCCCTGAAGCCAATGGAAGTATGCCCATCCTCAACATGCTTCCTCTTCCACAGAAACGTGCTGGGAGCCCACAGTGCCCTGGCACCCTTCCTCCCCTCTGGCCTGCAGCCTAGACCTCCCCCATTCTCTCCTACCTCTCTCCAAGGAGATTTTGCTTCTTCCATTTTTACCTCTCATTGCCTAGGGCTTCTTCGTCCTCTCTCCCCTATCTTCTGGCTTCTTCTCTTTTCCAGGCAAATGGGTTCAGGAGCCTGCATCCCAGCATCCCTAATCCTTGCATCCCTTCATCCCAGCCTCCCAGTCTCCCAGCATTCTCAGCCTCCAAGCATCACCACATTCTTGCATCCCAGAATTCCAACATCCCCATCACCTCAAACATCTCAGTCTCCCAGCCTCCCATATTCCCAGCACCCCAGCCTCCCAAGCATCCCATCATCACCATATCCCAGCACCCCAGCACCCCCAGCATCCTCAGTATCTGGGTAGCCCAGCTGAGACAAGTATGGTACATCTGGTCTGGGCCCTAACTTTCACTCCCCAGGGAATGCTGCTGACCTTGGCCCCACATTAGGCTAAAAAGTCCTCTACACCTCTTGAAGCAAAGTGGAGGAGCTTGGAGGCTGCCAGGTGACCTCTGTGAAAGAGTCCACTATCATCCTGCCTTTGACAGCAGCCTGGGCCAGAGTCCCATTTGGCCCCATCCTAGCTGCAAGTTCATTCGTGAAAGGACTGTGGAGCAAAAAGCACTGAACACCCCCCACACAGCTTCTAAGGAGCTACCATTGGGTGCCTGGAGGCCTCCCCGTGGGAGAGGCAGAAAGAACCCCAATGGCTAGAAGGGGGAAGTGTTCCTCCACAACCTATCCCATCATCCCCCTTCCCAGCCCTGAGGGTGACCTCCAGGTAAGTGCAAAAGTCCCCAAGGAGGTATGTGACATCCCAGAGTCTCCCTTCTCCCTTACAGCAGTATCAGGTCCCTTGGGGCCTTGAGGGTCAAGGTCAGTGGGTAAGTTGTTATCTTCCTTATCCTACAGCCAGGAAAGCCAGGGGTCAACACACCCAAAGACACACGTACCATGGGCTTTCTTTAGTGTGAGGTCATTTTATGATTTAGCCAACATGCATGTACCAGGCATGGAAGGTGGACTTATAGAATCCCCAACACAGATTCAACTGGGGTAGGGTATGCACCTATCAGAATTATACCAAATAGAATCAGTAGGAGATATATACAAGGGCCAGGATTTAGCTCAGTGGCACTGTGCCTGCCTTGCAAGCACAAGGTCCTAAGTTCAATCAATCCCCGGTACAAAAAAAAAAAAAAAAAAAAAAAAAAAAAAAAAAAAAAATGATACACATGAGTTGTGATCAAAACATACGGTAAATGTTCAAATACACTTTTCCCATCATTCTTGCCACTTTCTGAAGCACTTCTGGAGGCCCTCTTTCATGAGTGTCTTTACTTACACTGTTGTGGCTGCCTCGATGTCCTGAACTGATGCAAAACATTGACCTTTCGTGGTCATTTGGACTTTGGAGAAGAGCCAGAATTCAAAAGGTGCGAAATTGGGTGAATAAGGTAGATGAGGACACACACTATAATGTTTTTATGAGCCTGCCTTTCTGCTAGAGGTCACTTGGCAGCAGCATTCACTGAATTTCTTAACACACCTTATTATAAAGACCCTCATGAAAGAGGACTTTCAGAAAGTGGCAAGAATGATGGGATAAGTGTGTTCAAAGTTTGTGGGGTGGGTGGAGTGGAATGCATGGCAGGGTGTCTTTTACTGTAATGGATCCGTAAAATTTAAAAATTTGCCATGCATTTCTGTCACACACTTCATATGTAAAGGGAAGGGGGAGACTTGGCTAAGCAAGTCCAAAATCCATAGGAGAGGCCATCAGGAAGGACAGGCTGGAGCTCTCAGGCAGGAGCTGATGTTACAAGGCACAGGTGGAATTACTTCTTCCTCAGTAAAACCTCCATTTTGCTCTTAGTGTCTTTGAACTGACTGGCTGAGATCCACTCCCATTTTCCAGTACAACCTCCCTCACTTAAATTCAACGGATTGTAGATGTTAGCCACAGCCACAAAATACCTTCCCAGCAATAGACTGGGATATGACTGGGAACTGCCCGGTAGCACCTACACAAGCTGACATCTAGAACTACTCCTCAGAAGGGTACAGGGGATACGAGCACATTAGGAAAAAGAACAGTAATAAGCTATGTTAAGGTCTATGAAGGAGACAGCAAAGGCCCGGGGACAGGGAAAGATGGAAAGACCCCAGTTTGGTGGGGCCTGTGGGACATATACAGTAGTCTACTTTACATGAGGAGCTTAGGAAAGAAATCACCGAAGAAGGGAAATTCGAGCAGAGACTGAAGGCTAAGAAAAAGCCAGCCATGGGAAGAGCTAGGGCCGAAGTGCTCCAGGCAGAGGGAGCCATAGGTGGGAATGCCAGGAGGGATGGGACGGAGGCCGGTGGGCCTATGAACCACAGAACAGGGAGCAAGACAGCCATGAGGTGGGGGGCAGGCCCAGACCACACAGGAACCCGGAGTGCACCATGACTGCCCAGGACAGCTGTGGGTCATGTCAACACCTATGCTGGTGAAAGTGGGTAGAAGCACACGTGGGATGTCAGTAGGAGAAGGGTCTGTGCGGGGAAAACAAATCTGAAACCTCTGCCTCACTCCTGACATCAAGATAAATGCAGGTGATTCAAACAATAGGGTGGAAAGAATAACCCATAAAAGCTCTGTAGGAAAACAAAGGTGGGTATTTTTACAATACCAGGGTAGAGCAGACTTCTCCAAGGATGTCACGAAACTCAGAAGCCATTCAGTAAAAGGCTGATGAATTTGCCCATATATATAATTTTTAAAACTTGCACAAAGAAAAACACCATAAAATCAAAACATGAATAAGGAAATCAGGA